TTTCTCTAACCTCCCCATCAAAGGCAGAGGAGGATGGGGACAGCCTCCTCTCCCCAGGGTTTTGAGAATCACTGAGATTATACAGATAGTACATAAAATAATAAGTGAGGAGTTTAAGAGGAGACGGTTGGTTATATTATTTGTATTTTCATCAAGGTGTAATCTTATTGTAGGCAATATTATTAAAAAAATAAAAGCCTATAAAAATTCAGTTTACATATTTTTTATTGGATAACAGCATTTTTCAATACAGTGTCAATCATAAAAGCTTTCCTCTTTTTTCCTCTTTCCTAATAGTGTGTCTGAAATGGGCATAGGCCCCATCTGCTTGATTCTACCTCCAGGATCTTGGGAGAGAAAGGAAATTGCTCCTGCTAAAGGAGACTTTAATCTGGGAAGGACACTGGCCTTCTTCTCTTCTCCACAAGGAATTTCCAAGGGTTCCTGGACAAACATGTCTGATTTGATGAAGTCTTAGGGACGGGGCCCCTACATCTAGACTGAGCAGTCAGGGTACCTGGGGTGGAAGCCAGACCCAGGGGGATCTGAGCCTGGGCATCTTCTCCTGCAGCTCCTCACTCTAAACCCTGCTCCAAATTCTTTCTTTTTGGTGGTACTGGGGTTTGAACTCAGGATCTCATACTTGCTAGGTGGGTGCTCTAACACTTGAGCCACTCCACCAGCCTCTGCTCCAAATTCTGAGCTCCCCAGAGATGTGGCCGACTGCCACAAAACAGCTTTCTTCAGAAAACAGCCCCCAGAGTGGGAGGGAAAGGGCTGGGAGGCAGGTCCTGTTTCCACTAAGGATTCACTTCTGCTTCCTTGACTTGGTGCATTTTCCTTTTGGCTTGGTTTTGCTGCTGGCTCTTTGTAAAAATCCTCAATTCTGAAAGAAGCAATGTGGGTAGTGGGTGAAGTCTGTCCAACAGAGACATTTTTTTTCACCACCATCCCCACAGTACATAGGGGTAATGCCCTTTTAAAAATGGGAGTATACTATTTCTGCTCATCAAAAGCAAGTAACGTTAAAAACATAAATGAAATGGAGGGTGAAGATACATACATAACAATTACCGTATTTTTAGAGGGACAAAAAAGAAGACAGGAGACAGACTTGCATTGTTCTGGCAGCCTGCGTTCCTCACTGAAGGTGATGCCACCCCCCTTGCCTTCGTTTTCTCACTTCGCTGTCAACAAAACATCTGACCTGAGGAGGGGGGTGGCTTGGATTTTGCTAAAAACAAGCAAAGCACTTTATATCTATTTTGGTTTCTTTTAAGCTAAGCACAGATTTCTCTGGAAAGGACGGGAGCTGACTAGTCAACCTGTGTGGAAAACAATAAAGCACCCGGTTTTCTCCACTTCCCTGACCTCCAGTCTTGCTCCTGATTCTTGATGACAAAACACATTCTGTGTCCTTAATTGATTTAGTGGAGTGTCTGCAGTACTGGAGAAAGGAAGGCAGCTCATCCTGCCTGCAGATGGAGAGCTCGGCTGGGAATGTCTTTTGTCTTGAGAGGTTTACTCAGTTGCAGTGGGCCAGCAGCGGCAGCCGAGTTTGGAGGCTCAGAACACCCAGCCACCTCAGTTCTCCCTAGTAAAAGCTACTTATCTGAGCCATCTATGCAGACCCTCCCTCTGCCCCAATCACCCTGCCCCTGCATCTCCCCCTGGACTGCTTGTTGTATGTGGCTGGCACACTCGAGTTCATTTGTTCTTTTGCTTCCTCGGCTGGGTCTTTGACTTGTCTCAGGGCTGGCAGGGCTCATGTGTTCTACTTTCCTGGTGTAGGGCAGGATCCCGCCTGCTCTTTCAGGCAGGTGGAGGGTTGTTCTGCTAGTTTGGATCAGAGCTGGGCAAGAAGCTCTTTTTCCCTGCCAGCCCCGAATCCATAGCCGGACACTACTCCTCAGTGGGCTGGCATCACCCCACTTGGCTCACAAACACTGCTGTCTTGGGGAGTGACTGTAAGAGCCTCCGGCAAGTTGTCGTCAACTTCCTCCTCATTTTCATAGCTTGCATCAGACTATGTTTCATGCATTTTTGGAGATTCATAACACTTGTTTTCAAGACTACGTTATCCTATTTAGAGACTTTATGGAAGCTCATGTTCTTGCTTGTGAAGAGTTGGAGACACTGAAAATTGGAACTGATCAGTCGATCACATACCAGGGAGATAGGATTGCCCAGGTGAGAAATATCAGTTCTTTGTTTTACAGAAGACTGTCATTGGTTGCAGAGGCTCACTGCCTTACAAAAGCCTGGCATTGCCTTTCCAAATGCTTACTTGGGACCTGAATAGAATTATCTAGGACACACTAGAAGGGGGTTTCGTTTAAGTGTCATGATGCCAGGAAATGAGTCAAGTCTATTTTTGATCCTTCAGGATGGGAGCTGGATGGTCACTAGCCACTTCCTGGTTTTTACATGAATCACAGAGTTGTTTTTTTTTTTTTTTTTGGTACTGGGGTTTGAACTCAGGGCTTCATGGTTGCAAAACAGGTGCTCTACTGCTTGAGCCATACCTTCAGCCCAAATCATAGAGTTTTGAGCCTGAAGTATTCTGAGAAATTCACCTTCTTACAATGAGCATAGTTGCTCATGCCTGTAATCCTAGCTATTTGGGAGGATCATAGTTTGAGGACGGACCAGACAAAAAATTCGTGAGACCCCATTTCAACCAATAAAAAGCTGGGTGTGGTGACAAGCAACTGTCACCCCAGCTATAGGGGAAGCATAAATGGGAGCACTGTGGTCCATGCTGGCCTGCACATAAATGTAGGACACTATTCCAAAAATAACCAAAGCAAAAGAAAGGATGGGAGCATGGCTCAAGGGATAGATCACCTGCCAAGATGCTGAGTACCCTCCAGTACCACCAAAAAAAAAAAAAATCACCTTGCTCAGCTTCCTCACATCACAGGCATGGAGACCGAAGCAGAGGTTTTGCAAATGTTTATGGGAACCGGTGGTAGACTGGGGACCAGGAGTGAGTGTGTGTGTGTGTGTCTCTTTCCTCAGACCAGGACATGGACTCAGGTGGCTTCTTGGTTCTGGTCACATCCATGGAACAGCTGAGGGTGGATATGCTCTGCAGTTAGGGGAGGGGGAGGCTTGTTCTGCACTGTCAGATGGGTTGAAAGGACAGTTGATCCATTTGTTCTGTGAAAAGCATTCATGAAGGTCCCACCACAGAATGGGAGCCAAATCATCGCAGGACTTTGGAGGGGATATTATCTCCTATCTTCAGATTTGGCTGGCTTTGGGCTATCATCAGGGTCACTGCAGCAAACAATACAGATCTTGAATCCTTGTTTTCCTGCTCTCCCTGTTTCAGTGGGTCTGAGGTGGATTCCAGGCATCTTTATTTTTGGAGTTTTCCGAGTGGTTCTGACCTCCTGCTAAGTTTGAACTAAGGATCACTTACTACCTCCACTTAGAAAATCTGAAGAGGTAAGTGGATTTCACAAGGTCATACCCTTGGACAGACACATGAAATGGGTTTTCCAGGTCACAGAGCCAGTTAGGAACAGAAGGGTTCAACATCACTGCTTTTCTGTAGCTGCAAGAGAAGCCTGAGCAGAGCTCTTTGCAGCCCATGGGTGAGGGAGGATGCTTGCCAACACTGGTGCCTGCTGCAGGACTAAGGGACAGGGCAGGGTGACAACTACCTTGTAATAACCAAATGAATATTTGGAATGATAAGAACTCTATTAAACACTTGTTACGTATTGGGTGAGAAAAATCTGGGATTGCAGCATTCGCTACCAGGTTGAAAGGTGCACAGACACCAACAGGACTTTTAGTTTTTGTTTTTGGCGGTATTGGGTTTGAGTTCAGGGCCTAATGTTTACTAGGCAGGAAACAGTCATCTCCTGAAGACCCCCACCTCTTTTTTTTGGGGGGGTGGGACAGGGTTTGAACTCAGGACTTAATCCTTGCAAAGCAGACGCTGTACTGCTTCAGCCATGCCTCCAACCACCATTGGGATGTTGATATGGAATGTCACATTGTGTCCAACCCTGGGAAACCACCTTGAGAAAAGCTATTTGTTAGAGATCAACCAGTCTTTAGATTACTAAGGTACATGGTTGCTAGACCATGCTATAGCCAGAGAACCGTCAGAGCTCACATTCAGTGGGTACTTACTATATGCTGGCATCTTCTCCAGCTAATTTCATCCCTCTGGGTGAATAGTATTCTCCAAATTTTGCAGTTTAGGAAACCAAGATTGAGCTAGTTAGGGTGTTGACTGAGGTCACAGAGATGGAAAGTGGTGCAGTCAATACTCCAATTCAGATACATCTGATAACAAAGCCAGAAAGCGAAGAGGTGAGCCCCTTTTCTAGACATTGCTGTATCTAATGGCCAGATGTCTCACTAGACATCCTGTTTATCCAAGGCTGGCACGGCATGGCACATACAGTTTATATTCCCAGTTGCACTAACATAGTTTTCCCCTATGGTCAATCAGAAAAATCTACTGAATTGAACTGAAAGAGGCTTGCCTTCACGTACGGCTTTAATTCTTTTCCCAGGAGGCTATTTCAAAACAGGAAAATAAGATGGATCAAGCAAAAAAATTGTAATCGGTGAAATTTAATTTTTCTTGGAAAAATTAAAAAGAACATCTGATTTGTGGGGGATGCCACGCACAAAAACCCCTCTTCTATTATAACCTTATACAATCAGTGGTTCTTTCTGAAGCTTTTACCGCCTTCTCAAAACCTGGAAGAAACAAAGTGGTCTTTTCCTTTAATTTAGGAGCATGTAGCTGTGTTTGTAATAACAAGAAGCGTTTCAAAATAACTGAATGAACATAGTTTCAATCGTAGGATTGACTTTCTCAGCGTCTTCGGAACGAACGGCGTCAGACGAGGAAGAGCTGGACCGCGGTAACCAGGGCAACGGGGGCGGGAACTCCTCCTCCGCCGCCGCATTCCAGGAAGCGCGGCGAGAACGCTCGAAGAGGTTTGCCCGATTTGGCACGCCGTAGACCGCGGTGCATGCCGGGCCTCGGCAATATGGCGTCCTCCTTGATGTGCTGATGAGAGGAGTTTCACAGTAGCTCCAAACCAGAGAGCAGAACTCCCCTAACCTAATAAGCCCACTCTACCCGTTTTCTCCGCGGGTCCGTTTCGCCCGTTTCTCAGAACTCGTTCTCAGGCAGGGGAAAGCCACGGGGCCAAAGGTTAGGACCAGCCAGGCCGCGCGGACCCGGGGCTGAGGAACCGGCTGCGGGCGAGCACGATGGGCCCGTCCTGGCTCTGGTTGCTGCAGCTCAGGCGAGTGCGGGACCCGCAGGGCGGCTGAGTGGCTGACGAGACCCGAGGCGATCTGAACAACCCCCTTCCCTCCCGGGACCTCAGCCTCGTCTGAGCAGTGTGCGAAGTGGCAGCCGGAGCCGGGCGGCCTGCCCCGCGCTGGGATCTGCTGGGGCGTTGGAGGCCGCGAACAGGGTCATCGCGAGGCCCGAGGCCCTCCCGCCTGTGACAGCTCGGCCTGCAGCCCCTCCGGGAACCGGCAGCCCCCGGAGCAGCCAGGGACGTGGGATCTGGGGGTGTACGTGTGCCTGTGCGGAGCTCCTTGGTCTACCCGAGTCCCTCCGCCTCTCCCACCCTGCACCCCAGACTTCCCGCGCCGAGTTAGAGATAAGGATCGCAGACTTTTTTTTTTTTTCCTCCCCTGAATAAGGACCCCCGCACACTCTCCATCCATTTATTTTCGGACTCCCCGGTCCCCCTCCTTTTTCCACACCCTGTATCTTATTTCCCCAGTCCTGGTACACACTAGTTTTTAAGGCTGGAGGTGCTCGAGCGCTTGCTGCCGAGGACTCCTCCTCCCCCTCCTCCCCTGATGGAGTCCGAGATGCTGCAGTCGCCTCTTCTGGGACTCGGGGAGGAAGATGAAGCCGACCTTACGGACTGGAACCTGCCTTTGGCTTTTATGAAAAAGAGGCACTGTGAGAAAATTGAAGGGTCCAAGTCCTTAGCTCAGAGCTGGAGGATGAAGGATCGGGTAAGTGGACTTTCACGTCGCCCCTTGGCCTTGGTAGCTTTTCCACCTAAGAAAGCTCAGAGCTAGAAGAGCGTCCTTGGGAAAGTGCCTGTATCGTTTCCCACCCACGTGTTGCAAAGTCAAGTGAAAAGCAAAAAACGTTTCAGACTCCAGTTTCGGTTTGAAAATGAAAAGGCTATTTTGTTTGGTCGTTATTCACTGGATAATGTTGATTCAAATGAGGTTTAATTCCGACAATAAAAGCTAAGCAAGTTCGAAAATAACTGCACTACAAACACTGAACATACTCTTTGATGTACTTACTGTTGGCAGTACAGGAAAGACACCTTGGGAAATAATACTTGTACCCATGTGGTTACTCTACTTTTTGTGGTTAGTCTAAGTTTTTAAAATATCCAGGCTGGGCGAAGTGCAGAAGTCTGATATACAAGATTACTGGAAAATGTCCAGCTAGTACCACATCAGTGCAAAGTTATTTTAAAGTTACAGTGAGCTTTAGAAGGCTAGCATAATCTTGTAAGTAATTTGTCTTGAAGCCAGACTCCTGGCTTTTTGTGGTTTGTTGTTGCTGTAACCTGGAGACAAACTTTCTTCCATAGAAATTAAGGAGTGTAGGGTATGATGGTTTGGAACTTGGGTCCAGGTTTTAGGAGTTTCTCATGATTTTGAGTGTAGACATTGACTCATAGGCAGCTGATAGGCAAGAGCCAATTTTGTTGAATCTGTCCTTTGCAAATCTCCAAATCAAACGGCTATTACCATGTGTTAAATTTGCACACCTATAATTTGTCTTTCTATGATTTATTTTTTGTGAACATTTCTGTTGTATCAAAGAAGTTGGTTTTACCCTGTGTGAATTGCTTGAAGCTTCTGTATGTGTGTATAGAAAATTTCTGTATTTTTTAGTGTATGCTATTGAACACTTAGGGTCATTCTACCCAGTCACTCACTAGTAATCAGTGTTTGAATTGCTCATTTGCTATCCTTATTTCAAGTAGCAAAAACCCTTGTTCCTTCGTATTATTGCTTATACTCTCTCTTCAACAAAACTAGAGATAAGGGCAAAATAGTTTCTGCCAGGTATCGAGGGGGTGGGAAGAAGGGGGAGGGGGAAGGTGGGTGGTAAGGGAGGGGGACCACGGGTGGTAAGGGAGGGGGGAGAAATGACCCAAACATTGTATGCACATATGAATTAAAAAAAAAAAGAAAAGAATTGCTCGTTTGGCTTACTTTTAAAAAGTTAGGAAAATTTGTTTTATCCAAAAGCAGTTTAAGGAGTAAAATTGGTTATTGGAAGAGATTGTATAATCCGTCTTGTGGATATATTTAGTACTAATTGTGTAGTTAAAAACTTGGTTGCTGTGCATATATGAAAAGAAATTTAAAGCAATAATGTCTACTCTTTTTTTTTTCATTCTATTTGGAGGACTTTTAAAAAATGTTATTCTTTTGAAATGGTTCCTTCTTCTACCCTAAACATATGCTCAAACTATGCTTAACCTATTTTCATAACTGATTAATGGTCATATTTTAACCTTCTAATTTATGTGTGATCAAAACCCCTAATAAGCTCTTCCCAGGTTGAGACAAACAAAAATTCTATGAATCTTAGTAACTACTGAGATTGCTATTTAAAAAGGTCAGGGGAGAAAGTTTGCAGACTTTGTTGTCAGGGAAAAAAATCAGAAAGCTGGCGAGTGGGTCAAGTGGTAGAGCACTTGTGTAGCAAGCCTGAGGCCATGTGGTAGAGCACCTGTGTAGCAAGCCTGAGGCCCTGAGTTCAAATGCCAGGACTACAAAACAAAACCAACACCAACAACAGAATAAATCCGGCACTGGTGGCTCAGGCCTGTAATCCTACCTACTTGGGAGGCAGAGATAGGAGGATCAAGGTTCAAAGCCAGCCCAAGCAAATAGTTCTGGAGACTGTATCTTGAATATACCCAACACAAAACAGAGCTGGTGGAGTGACTTAAGTGGTAGAGCACCTGCCTAGCAAGCAGAAGGCCCTGAGTTCAAACCTTAGTACTGAAAAAAAAAAAAGAGAAAGAAAATCAGTTAACATGTTGACATCTTTAGCTATGTTTGTGGGATTGACATCTTAACTAGTCCTTATAGATACTTTCTTTTAGTAGACCACAAAGGGACTGTTTCAGTATACCTTACTAGGACAAAGGTCAGAAATTCAAGTGATTCTAAGCGTTGGAAAGTAGTATCTCTAAGAGTTGGAAGGTAGTATGAATGAATGAAACAAGTCGTATTTAAGAACCACAAGTTCACAGAGGCAGGAGATATGCCATGTCTCAGCGGTAGGGTTTCTGGAAGATGGGCACAGTGAGGCTGTGGAATGTACGTACCATAACTAAAGGGAGTGGCCTGGCCTTGGCTAGCTCTTCCTCTCTCTCTCTCTCTCTCTCTCTGTACTGGGGTGTGAACTTGGGGCCTTGAGCTTGCCCCACTTTAGCCACTTCACTACTTTAGCCAATTCCTTGGTCTTTTTGGCTTTAGTTATTTTTCAGATAGGGTCTTGTGTGCCTGTGCCATGTTTTCCCTGGTTAGCCTCAAATTGTTATCTTCTTGATCTGTACCACCCAAGTAGCTAGGATTACAGGTTTGAGCCACCACACCCAGCTGTCTCTTCCTCTTTTTCTTTGAGAAGCCAGGAACCTTTTATTTTGTTGTGTTTAAATGTAAAGTCTTCTAGTTTTGAAATCTTGGTACTAATTCAGATGTTATAAACACAAAGCAGTCCAACACTGCAGGCACCCCCCGCCCCAGTTTGTGGGGCAGTTTTTGGCCACTGGATTACTATATGTGATTTCTGCTCTATCACAGCAATGGCAGGCTGTGATAGACTGCCCATTTGAGCAGCCAGGTGTCTGGGCCTCCTGCAGCACCTATGGTCCTGATTATTACCCTTTCTGGGGGCTGTTTACTGCTCTGTGTGTAAGCTCAGTTCTTGATTCTTTCCTTAGACTGACGTGCAGTTCCATACACTTTTATTTTGTGTGTGTGTGTATGTGTGTATGTGTATATATTTATTTTTGGCAGTACTGGGTTTGAACTCAAGGCCTCACACTTGCTAGGCAGGCTCTCTCTTACTGTTTGAGCCACTTTGCCAGGCCCCCCCATCCCACTTTTGTGTGTGTGTGTGTGATGGGTTTTTTCCAGATAAGGTCTCACAAACTATTTGCCAGGGGCTGGCGTCAAACTAATCCTCCTGGTCTTTACCTCCTGTGTAGCTAGAATTACAGGTGAGAGCCACCGGCACCCGGCTTATTTTGTGTATATATTAATGATTACTTACTGTGTCTTATTGTAGTGGTCTTGTTACATGTTCCTAAGACTGATATCTTCACCAAGGTTGATTGATGAGAGGTTTTTCTGCCCCTCCATGTTTGCCTTGTAGTTATAGTACATGCCTGCGCCCAGTTGGGATTCCTGCGTCTGTTCAGAATCAGTCCTGGTTTTCAAATGCTACTATTGTCACATTTTAATATCCTGCTTAAAAGTTTAATATCCTGCTTAAAAGTTTAAGTTTGTTTGGTTGATTCTACTATGTATAGTGAATGATGCATACATGTATCAATAGTGTTTGGGGCTTGTAATTTTCAAATAACCAGGCACACACATGAATTGTAGTTCAAAATGAACCATTCATAGACTTGTGGCTAAACTGATATGTTTATATCTCCCCCACTTGTGTTTTACTGTGAGAGTTTATAGTTATTATAGAATTTGTTTTCCCTCTGGGAAGTGTGCAGGTGAGGGTAATCAGTCTCAAATAGATTTTTTTGCCTGGAATTCTTGGGATGGAATCAGGAAAGCCTGAGAGTCACTGCTCTGAGTGAAACCACTGACATTTTGCTGTCTTCATGTATGGGACCATTGAGAGAGACCCTGCCTACATGCATATTGAGCCATTGGCAGTTGTGTTATATAGACATGTGTGCAGGAGATATAAATAAAGCCAGGCAGCCCTTCTCCTACACCAGTCTCCAGCTCAGTTGCATTGCTGTGTAGCTATGCTTTGAGTAAGCCCTGGGGAAGCAGGGTAGATACATACACTAAAAAAACGGGTAAATGTGTAGGATGTGTTGAGCTGGGCAAATAGGAATGCTTCATAGCTCTTTATTGCTCCCTTTGTTTCCCTTGCTGTGTGTCTTCTCAGCTACTCCAGTTAGGTTCTGCTTCTCTCTATGGAGACTATTCTCTACACAGCCATCTTTTGTAACGGAGTCTAAGGGTTCCTTCTCTACCTTAACCTATTTGACCTCTGAGCAGCCTTTGACACAGTTGACCACTTGCCATTGGGTCTTTATGAAACTCTGGATTTTCCTCTTTGGTCACTGAAGGCTCCTCCTCAATCTCCTTTGCTGTCTGGCACCTGAGCCAGGAGCGCCCAGGGACTTGGTCTGTTTTCATGAGCTAATCTCATTGAGGCCCTTGTCCTCAGATTCTGTTGACATACCAGAGACACTCAAACCCTCTCCTTAGTTCTTACCTCCCCTGAAGTACCTTTTCTAACACTACATCGATTTTTCTGCCTGTTCTCTCATCACGCGTGCCACAACCACCATCCACGCAGTTGTGGAAGCTGCAGTCTAGCTTGTCTGTAATGGTTTCCTCTCCTCACCGCTGTCCATTCTGTTTCATCAGTAGCACCTGCCAGCTTTAACTCCACAGCACATCTCACACTGCCTGGCTGCAGTTGCAGTCCAGGCATCTGCCATCTCTGGCCTGGATGACTGCAATTGCATCCTGCCTGGTCTCCCTACTTTCTCACTCTTGTCCTACCTCATAGTGGTCAGGGGATCTTATAAAGGTGCAAGTCATCTGACTGCTCTTTTCACTGGCTTCCTGAGTGTTTGGAGCGGAATGTAAAATCCTCTTTCTGGCTCACGATGGCTTTGTGAGCTTAAGCACTGTGCCTCTCCTGCTGCTTGGATCGCTACCTCTGCGATGCCTTCCCTCAGGTCCTTACATACTGGGCTCTTCCT